GTTAACAAACCCGTACCAGGTAGTTTATAATGATGATCCAGTTCAATGTCTCACAGAAGAATAGATGCAGGTGGATTCAGGCTGCTGCTGTGGCCCCCGGCTACAGGGTCTCAAGAGGGAGCCAGATATAAAGCCATAGAAGGCACCTATAGTTTCCCTGTAAGCATTGGCTCCTCCTAGTTTTGTGGGGAGGAGTTCTCAGAATCAGATTCATCCATATTGAGTGTCACATATGGGGCACAGTGGAGAAAGAACACTGGACCCTTCTCTGGCCCATTGTCTTGGTCCTAGTATAGACCTGTGTGACTGGCTGAGTAGCAAGTCAAAATGAAAAATGGCTACTTAGGGTCTATATTGGATGTTCAGCTGCCTCAGATAGAAAGTTCTGGGTGGTCCCTGGCAGATCTCCTCTGTCGACTCAGTAAATGTTGTGGTGATATTTTTGTTCTGGTTCACAGAAGCAAAAGTTCACAGGTGATTAATTCCATCACCGTAGGTGCCAGGCTAGTCACAGGGTCCCTAGTCTTGGCACTATTGATCACCCTCTGCTGTGAGGCTATAATGTTTATTACAGGACTGTCATCTGTATGCCTGGTCTTCACCCAATGGACGGATGCAGGGATCATCACGTTCCTGTGAGAACTGAAGGAACTACAGATAAATCTTCTCTGAGGACAAAATTGCCTCTGGCTGAGCACCATCAGGTCCCTTACTTTGGATATTTAGGGTTCTTAGAAAGCCACTAATGGTCCTTGGAGATCCCCGTGTCTTTGGCTTTAATAGAAACAAGATGGGTGGCATGAGCCATGTGCAGCCTGATGGCCTTGTAGAAAAGGCAGGACTAGCAGAATTAATTGGGGAACCAATCAGTACCCCTTCTGGTTCCTGTCCTCACCCAGCCCTTGGAGAACACTGAACATAGGAAGTCGGAGTAACTTCCTGTATCAGTCAGGGTTCTCTAGAGTCACAGAATGTATGGAATGTCTCTATGTTGAGGGAACTTATTGTGGTGTCTTACAGTCTGTAGTCCAACTACTCCAACACTAGGCAGCTATGAATGGGAAGTTTAAGAATTTAGCAGTTGATCAGTCCCATGAAGCTAGTTGTTTCAGCTGGTCTTCTGTAGGAGTGGGTTCCAACAGATACGTTGGTAAATAACTGAAGGTAGGTGAAGAAGAACAAATCTTCCTTCTCCCAATGTCCTTATGTAGGTCTCCAGCAGAAGGTGTGGCCCAGATTAAAGGTATATACTACCACACCTAGATATGGGGCTTGTTTTGTCTCAGGCTGACCTTGTACTCAGAGATCTCCTTGTCTCAGTTTCTAGGATTAAAGGTGTGTACTACCTTGCTTTTCATGGCTACTGTGCCTAAAGATCTCCATGCCAAGATCCAGGTCTTCCAGCCTCAAGGTCTGGATCAGAGGTGAGCCATCTAATTCTGGATTGTAGTTCATTCCAGATATAGCCAAGTTGACAACCAGGAATAGCTATCACACTTCCCTACACCTTCTGTCCCTCAGAAGCAGGCCTGGTCCATGGACTGTGGCACCTTGGTGCTCTGCAAACCTGGGCAAAGAGCTCTGTCAACCTCAACTTTACACAGAATGAGTTTCCTGTCATGGCACTGAGCACATCCTCTCATTCTGGTTGAGACTAGGTGACTCCAACCAGGAATGTCTCACTGAGACGGTTGCCTGTGACCGACACATCTGCCACACCCACAGACAGCCCCACATGCTAGGGACCACCTGCTGGTTCTCTGACTGAAGGAGGCTTTCTGAATCCAGCTATTTATTCAAAAGACGAAGCAAAGCACATGGGGATTAAGCACTTCAGCGAAACAGAAATTACAATTATAATATATTTTTTAACAGACGGGAACAGGTGGTGTTTTAAATCTATCCAAGATTAACCCGTATTCAACAGTCTAAACGCTCAGGCTGTGGCAATAAACATTGTGTAATTATGAATTTGAGGGCGTGCATTTTTACCTGGAGTTTTCAAATTGGAATCGGCCCAACTGAAGTTATCTGCACAGTGCAGTTTTTTGTGAATAACCAAGTAGGGATTCGCAGTATTAAGCATTTTTATGTAGCTTCACTGTGGGGGTCTCCATTGCTCTCCAGAAACAAATTTGAGCAAGAATAGTGACTCCCAGGATCTCGAGGGTTGTTTCTAACCTTGACAGCTGCTTGCTGCAGGCAAGAGTAGGGCTTTTGTAACCCCGAGGTTTCCTGTAGTTCAGGAAATCCAGTGTCTCCATACTAGGTGACCTTTCTGGAGGATGTGTGGGGACACACTAGGTTCTGCAGGGTCTGGTTTTAAACCGGCAAGCAAGGCTGCTCCACGGCTTACAAACCTAGGCAGGAGACCTTTCTGTCATTTGCTTTTCGGCCCTTGTGTGGGTGGGAGTCCCCAGACAATCAAAGCAGGTGTGACTTATACCTGGGTGGGGCTGTGGGATGATGTCACATCCTGGTGGCCACCCTCACAGGTTCTTCCAGTTCATGTCAGGCTGGGCCATGCAGCATTCTCAGTACTCACACACCACAAAGTATTATTGTCCAGTTTTTGAGAAGTTGTTCTTACATTATCATAGCAGTCTCCAGACACCACGCATGTTCTCTACCTCAGGTATCAGAGAAGAGTGCGGAGTGCTTCAGGTGCTGCTTCTAGGAATGTGGCATTTGTCACTGGGCTTGGATAAGGAAGTAGACTCAGATAAGAATATTAGAACTAGTGACCGTGGGGCTTTGCTTTTACTACTTTGCTGAATTACTACCTTACGTGGTTTCTCTGCTTACCACTTTAATCCTTACTTTGTGTGTTCCTTTGCTTACTACTCTGCTTGATTACTTTCTCGTGTGATCTTGTTTACTTCTTCACTTGATCACTTTGTCTTTGATATAAGAACTGACCATGTGTTTTGGATGTACCTAGAATGATATAAAAGCAGGCTGGAGAGAAATAAGGCTGCTTCAACCTCAGTACGGGCTGGAGTCACGTTATAGTTTTATCTAATTGTTTTTCTTTCCCAATCCTTACTCCCTTGCTTGAGACCCTGTTGACTGAATGAGTTGGCTTGGTCAGAAGAGCAGAGGAAGCCAGGCGCAAGTCAGACTAAGCCCGATTCAGCCAGTACAACGTCAGCTCTTGGAGTCTGGACACATCAACTATTGGATTCGTTCTTCACCAGGGAAGTTCAAATACCCCAACTTCTCTGTCTCTCTCTCTCTGTCTCTCTCTGTCTCTCTCTGTCTCTCTCTCTGTCTCTCTCTGTGTGTGTGTGTGTTTGTGCATGTATACAACCATATACACCTGTCAGGGGAGGGATATATATTTGCTCATGTCTATGGGTGCACACAAAGATCAGAAATCAATGTTAGGTGTGTTCCATGATTGTTCTCCATCTGCTGTTTGAGATAGGGACTTTCATGGGACCTGAAGCTCACTGGCTGGTTAGAGCAGTTGGCTATCAAGTCTTAGGGATCCTACCGCCTCTATGTCCCCAGTGCTGGAATGGTAAGTATGTGTCACCCTGCCAGGCTTTTTATTTAATGTGTTAAGAGAATTGAACTCAGGACTTTAGGATTGTATGCCAAGCCCTTTAGCAACTGAATCTCCCCATGTCCTGAGCAGAATTTTTACATGCAATACTGCTACATACTGGCTTACGTGGGCCCCCTAACTCCTTGTACATAAGCTATTGTAGTATAGATACTTCTCAAAGGCAACAAACCAGCCCAGAATCCAAATCCAGCTACTTCCTCCACGTCTCTATTTCATCCAGAACAGGTCACTGGAGATACTTGGAGCATGTGCTGGTTTGAGTAAAAATGGCCCCCAACCGTTTCATAGGGAGTGACATTATTGGAAGTGTAGCACTGTTAAAGTAGGCGTGGCCTTGTTGGAGGAACTGTGTCACAGTTTCAGAAGCTTAAGCCAGGCCCGGTGTCACTCTCTCTTTGCCTCCTGCCTATCCAGATGTAGAACTCTTGGCTTCTCTCTAGCACCATGTCTACCTGCATGCTGCCATGCTTCCCACCATGATGATAATGGATTAAGCCTCTGAAACTGTAAGTCAGCCCCAGTTAAATGTTTTCCTTTATAAGAGTTGTCACCATCATCTCTTCACATCCATAAACACTGAATGAGACAGAAGTTAGTACCAGGGAACAGGGCATTGCTATGACAGGCCTGGCTGTAGTGCCTGTTGATAGAATATAGACTAGGGGACTTTAAGTCAGGAAAACAGCTGAATGAGTTAAGCACAGAGTCCTGGGCCATCTTGGAGGAGCAGAGAAGACAGTGCAGCTGAGAGCAATGCCGGGCAAGCTCAAGTGTTGGAGGGAAGAATATTAGTAAGCGGAGTAGAGACCTTTCTTGTGATATGTTGGTAAAGATTCTGGCTTTTCCCTCTGTCCTAAAAATCATCTTGAGGCTAAATTGAAGAATTTTTGGATTAAAGTCATTGGCAAGAGAGGTTTCCAGGCAGGCTAGTGTTGACTCTGCCATGTAGTTATTTAGTAACCAGTCTTACACAGATCTATAATGAAGAGGAAAAAGCTGAGCAAGGAAAATAGATACAAAATGCACAGTCTGCGGAGAAAAGGAGAGCCAGGAAGTGCAATGTAACCAAGTCCTGTGCTCAAGGAGATAAAATGTTGCTCAGAAAAGCCTGATGCTCAGTGGAAGAAAAGAAGTGGTGACCTCATAGCAAGACCTCACCCATCAGAGATTCCAACTTCTGAAAAGGAATTAAAGAAAGCTTAAGCTGTGGAGGAATCCGTGAGCAACAGAAAGCCAGTGGAAACCTGTTTACACCAGGGGCCAAGCTCCAGCCCAGCAGCAGCAGAACGTGACAGTTACGGCCATGTGGTTCTGGCTTTAGAGTCAAGGACACAAGAGAGGGGTTACAGAGTATGGAGGCCCAGAGAGGCCATTTTGTAAGGCTGTGAAAGTGAAGTCTGAATTGCCTTGGATACCTAAGATACTGAAGATGCCAGATGCCTGGGACACCTGCCAAGGAGAGGGGCTAACAGGGTATGGAATCAGCCCAGGAGAGGATTCTGTGTTGCAGTCAACAAAGATGAAAGTAGTTGGAGGTCTGAAGAACACTTTGACATCAGACGTTTAGGTACAGAGTTTGGAGTTTGCCCAGCTGTTTGTTTTTTGGTGTTTTTTTTTTTTTTTTATCTTGCTTCGGTGCAGTATTTCCTCACTGTGCTCCCTTTCGGAATAATAATATATATTCTGTGCCATCGTATATTGGATGTATGTGACCCGATTTTTAATTTTGATTATACAGGGGTCATAGTGAAGAGATTGCCTTGAGTCTCAGAGGAGACTTGAACTTGGGATTTGTGAACAGTGTTGAGATTATGGTAGACCATAGGGACATTTGAAGTTGGTCTAAATGCATTTTGCGTTATGATGTGACTACAAGCTTATGGGGACCAGGTCGTGGAATGTGGTGATTTGAAAATGGATCCTAGGCTTGATTTCTACCCACAGGTGCCCATTGGCCACCCTCATTGCCCGGGAGCTGCTCTGCACTCAGAGCCTCTCTGGTCTCTACAGGGGCCTGGGTGCCACTCTCCTCAGGGACATTCCCTTCTCCATCATCTACTTCCCTTTGTTTGCAAACCTGAACCAACTCGGGGTCAGCGAGCTCACCGGCAAGGCTTCCTTCACACACTCCTTCATGGCAGGCTGTGCAGCAGGCTCTGTGGCAGCGGTGGCTGTCACCCCTCTGGATGTTCTGAAGACTCGAATCCAGACCCTCAAGAGAGGCCTGGGTGAGGACACCTACAGTGGAGTCATTGACTGTGCCTGGAAGCTCTGGACACAGGAGGGAGCAGCAGCCTTCATGAAGGGAGCAGGCTGCCGTGTGCTGGTCATAGCTCCCCTCTTTGGGATCGCCCAGGGCATCTACTTCATTGGCATCGGAGAGCACATCTTAAAGTGCTTTGAGTAATCTAGTGTGTCACTTCTTGCTGTCACCTCTGGCCCTAGGGAACTGGGTGGCAGTACTGGAAGATGCCCACCCTGACACATGTGGTCTCTAACTTGTAGTGCTACCTCAGAAGAAATGACCCATTTTACTAAGCAAGCGCAGCACAGAGTCATCCTGTGAGGGTTTAGTGTCAATCCTAGCCCTGATGTTCTAACAGATCAGAAGTGCACCTGGGCTGAACCGTGTGTCCTCCTGAGCGTCACCAGTAGTCAAGTG